GGGCATGAGGGCCTGTCAAAGCCCCCGGGCCTCTAGACTCTAGCCCACCCGATCGTCGGAATGAGGGGTGTGAAGTACGAGTATAGCTCATCGCAGGGCTGCAGCCATAAAGAGTAAGATGAAAGAAGCGAGATGAGCGTGTACATGCGTGTACTCTCCAAGACGAAGCTTCTGAAACAAGAGTACATACCTCGAGGTGGAAATACAAGTCATAGAGCAAATGCAGGTATGTTCTCTACACCGGATCACGAAGAACTTCATGGGGTTGCTTAGAACGACGGGAAGGTATTCTGCCATTCCCTCAGATAAGTAGCATCAATACGACATATGACTCCATAAAATTCTAAGGCCCGGACCCCATTAACCAGTATCAACCACGAAGGCTCAAACACTTCTGACATGAAGCGAATGATACCTCTCGGATACACATAGTGTGAGGTGCCTGTATTTAACAACAGAAATGTCTGTCTCTCTCTCTCTTCTTCCACTCTCTCTCTCTCTCTCTCTCTTTCTTCTTCTTGCCTCGGGCATAAGGGGCTGGTCAGGCCCCCTGGCCGCATGGGACCCCCACCGTTCGTGGGGCTTTCAGGGGGTTTCTCTCCCTCCCTCTCTCTCAACCCCCTGGGCCCCATCCAAGAAATGGTCACACTTGCTTGCATCCATCAGCCCGCCGGCGGGATTGTCCCATCTGCACATATCCTCGCCCAGGGAACGTGTCCCGCGTCGGGGCTGGGTGAGCGCATACCCGCCTGCACTTGGATCGGCTTACGAGTTCGTTGCTTCCGGACTCCGGACCCTTCTGCGCAGCGAAGGTTTTTCCGCAAGACGGCAAAATACTTGATTTGGGTTAGGGATGGTGCGGGGATGTCTGGGACTAGGATTTGCTTGAGGTGTTGGTTGCACACGCCAGTAAAGGAAGTCGCCGTGTTGCCACCCGGACCACATGGTTGGGCGAATCGGTGCAATCACAGCCAGGCGAAGCTCAAAAAAGCTGAAGACCACTGTATCACCTTAGCAATCACTTTACATCGACCTACTAGAACGCCGCTGGGGTTGTGGTTTGGGACGAATTCAGCCGGCCGGCTGTTCAAGATTTCTGGAGCCGGCAGCGCTTTCTTGAACCAGTCGGCACCGCAAATACCCCAACCGAAAGACTCCAACCACAAAAGATGATAGTCGCGACGCGGAAGGGCTGCAGCAAACATAGCAAACAACCCCATAGAAATGTGCGTTGCCTGATGTTGACTGTCCTGCTCCGGGCGCTGGATGCACATGCCCGAAGCGATCTAACCCAGGGCTCGAGACTCGAAACCTCTCCTGCCCTGGTCTCGAAACCCTACGCATGACGAAGTGCGCGCACAACGGCCGGGACCTCCCAGGTCTGGAATTCGCAGCGCAGCTGCCTGCCCAAACGGCTGCTTTCCTTGTAGAGGCCCTCGCACAGGGAAAAACAATCCAGTGGCTGCCGCGCCGTTCGCAACACTGATTGGCTGTTCCCCTGGGCTGCGTTGCGAGAGTGGGGAGCCTCTCGCAAGGTCAACGGCATCTCTCTGTCCTTGGAATGGATGAATATATGGAGAAGGTGCGCTCACGTCCACACTCAAGACGGTCGGGGCTCTGGCGACCTGGTTTCGGGTCGAGTTGGGTCCAGCACTTTCCTCTGCCGCCCTCTCCTTTCATGTCGTAAGGTATGCATCAAAGATTGCGACGCCAGCTGCGGCAAGGGCACGTCCGGGCTTTGGAGCCTGAGTGCGGTTCAGCTTTGGCTTTGCAGAGCAATCGGCAGATATCGGCTATGCTCGGCTCAAGAGCGCACCAACCGAAAACATCGAGGTACAGGACACTCCGAAATCGGGTGGGCAGAGCTGCACCGCGTTCAGAGACCTTAGCATCCGAACACAAGAAGTTCGGCTGCTGCAGTTGCAGGAGAGCGTGCCCCTGGATCTAAAACTGAGGCGACAGCATGCTCGGCTCTGGCAATACATGCGACACACACCTGTGGCACTGACAGAACTGAGCTCAGGGGCCAGGTTGCAGGAAAGACGAGCGCACGATGAGGCCAGCATGCATCGCAAAGACGACAGCCACAAGAACCTTGAGCGAGAACAGCAGACTTGAGTGAATTGGGTGCTAAGGATCTGCAACATAAGTCGGATCCCGGGTTCGATCCGCTTAATGCTTGGATCCCAGTCTGAGGCTACAAATCCGCCCTCAACAAGCAAGCAAGAGCGCACAACTTTATCCCCAGCTATCCCTGGTACCCCTGTGGCTCAGACAGATTGTGCCACGCGTTGCGGCTCGCTCAAAGAATTCAGTGTAGCCTTCGCCAGCAGGCATCCCCAACCCACTAGCCCTAGCAAACGGGGACGCTTTGCAGGATTCATAACTCAGCTGTGCGGCAGCCACTAGGGCGAGCAACGGACCTCAAAGAACACTAGCAACTCGCCACACCAGTGGATACACACACTGCCGATCGTCGTCTGAGTTCACGGCCCAACATGAGAAACAAAGCTCCCAGGACCCTTCTAGCGCTTGAGAAGTACAGATCCAGCCTGCATCTGGGCTTGGATTCCGTCTATGGTTGAACATTGCATGCTCGGATGCGCACTTGATCAAAAGCCATGCCAGCATGGGAAGTACTGTCCTCACATGGCAGAGAGTTGCTAGAAATTATTGCAAAATATTGCAAAGCACCAAGGCAAGCAGCTTGTGCTGCGCATGTTGAGGCAAGTGTCGCGCAGGCAAGACCAGCCCATGGTGCATGCATCTCAAGGACGAGAAGGCCTCTGGATGCTAGACGATGAGAACACATCTCGCTGCTGCATGGCAGGGAGAAGCAGGTAGGTCCCCTGCCAACTGTGTAGTAAGCCACGGCATGCAACAGCTTGTACGTACCTAGGTGTCTGTTTTGCCACAGAGACGCCGGGAGAGAGGGAGAGAGAGAGAGGCAGAGGGGAGGGAGGGAGAGAGACAGAGAGAGAGGGAGAGAGAGAGAGAGAGCAAGAGGAGAGGGAGAGGGTGGGAGAGAGAGCGCGAGGCATGTATATGTATAGCTGTATATCCCAGTAACAACTCACTGTATATACATAAAGATACCACCTAGCATGTATGATCTGTATTGACCTGTCATATACTGCGCCATCCTCGAAGACAAGTCGCCATTCTTTGACTTCGGTCTAGGACTGAGACGCGTTTATGAGAACTCTGTGGCATTTAGAAGCTGATGCCGATACGATCCGACTGAAACTTGAAGCAGTCTTAGACTCTCAGTACGACTCTACGCTCAACTCTTCAAAAAGGTCAACATGCCACGAAAAAATCTCAAAACTCAAAACTTCTCCTCTCGGAGATGCTAGGCTGCCAGGCTATTTCTTACACACTTACCGCTTGGCCAAGATGCAACATGCTTGCATATCACTTATGGCTCGGTCGGTTAGCGCTGGCTGAGCGGGAAGTCAACGCAAAAACTCAAGCCCTAATTTCTTCTACTCGCATTTCTGCCTCAAAACTTGAGGGTTCATGCCTGACCATCCGCGCAAAACCGGTCATGAGATTCTTCAATTTTCAACCTTTGGGATTGACACCTAATCCTATGTCGCTGCTGCAGCATTGCGGAGCATGTTGTGGCTGTGCACAGACAGAGTCGCCGTTGCAGCTATGCCATCGCAGGATCTATTCGTGTAAGGCTTGAGAACTTCGATTGTCCAGCAAACTGTTGAAAATCCGTGGGCTTAGAACTCGTGGTGGGTGCTCCAGGGTTTCTATTCCTTGAGCAATTGATAACATGTGGGTCCTTGTTCGCCTAAGAGAAGTCTGACAGTCTAGCATCTAATTTCCTTGGATTTCCTCCGAGTCTTTCGAAAAACAAAACTGAATCCCTATACTAGAATGTTTACCGATTTTGTTGCACGTCCCTGAAATCTGTTGCCTGCGGGGGAGGCCGCTTTGTTTCGTCTCCGCCCCGATCCTCCCGAAATTGAAAAGCAGCGCCCAAATGAGCGTCCAAGCGGGGAGCAGAATCAAAACTGGATCCAGCACGATTATATTACCCGCCGTTAATTATGTCGGTCGGGTGCCATGGCCAGTGCCTTGATGCAATTCATGGCTCCTGTACAAAGCCAGCCCAACCCTTCTCCCCACATCCCGCAGCGGTCCCGCCAATCCCCTCCGGCATTGCAAAAGCTTTTCTTGCCCATGTGTGCGAAGGTGGTCTCGAATTGGTGACACACAGTTTCACAGTTTCACTGCAGTCGAAAACTCCCCTTAAAAGTGTTTGCAGCATCTGCTAGCTGCTAGTATGCCTATACATGCCCGTGGTGTTTGCTCGCCTGCTCGAAAGAAAGCTGGAAAGCTGCGAAGGAACTTAGAACTGCGCTGCTTCCCCGCATCTGAAGGCATTGGTTATCTGCAAAAAGCTTAACACTCGAAGGAGGCTCACGGCTTTGACAATCCATATTCACAGAGCTGCTGCGCAGTGTTACCCCTGATGCAAACAAGAGCATATGCAAACAGCTTCAGTCAGAACCGTCCATGAGCTTGCGGCATCAAACGTCTAATAATGTCGAATATGTCAGGACGGCGTGGAGGACAGGACGACTTGCACATGTCCCGATTACTAACGTCGACCCCCTAAGAGCTGGGCCAAGTGCAAGGCAGGCCCGCGCATACGCATCGTGTGCCTGTGAGCTATGACAGATCGGGTTAGGTTTACTTCTCTCCATAGGATTTGGCGATGAGGTCCTGCCAGTTGTCCTGCAGGTCACGATAGAGCCTCAGCCCAACCAAGCCTTGGGTGTGGAAGTCGCACTGCACCAGGCTCCCTGCCGCACATGTTTAGCAGCCTCAATGCAACGAAAGCGGCATGCTGCAAGCAAGTGCAAGTATTTTCTGGTTTTGTCGCTGCCTGGCCTAACGGCCCGGTGATGCCCTGTGCCGCACCTGGGGCTGCTGCAACAGCCGCATTGGCGTTCGGCTGGGACATGGACACCAAGCCAGCCACCGCAACTCCTGAACATGAAAACCCATGACACGAAGGCATAAAGGTTCCAAAGCGGCCTCCTGATGGATCCTGTGGCCGCTGGCTTTGGCCACCTCCACCTTAGTGTTGCAAACAAATTTCACCCAGAGCAAGCGAAGCAAACCTTGTCAGATACGATCAGATCCGAGGACACTGCTCAAGCGCTCGGCTTGCTGCCGCAGAACGGGCAGGCGCAAAAGGTCCTGCACAAAGAGAGTCGCCACTGTTGCACTGTATCCACGGTGACTACCGGCCTCGAAGCCCTTGTTTTCGTAGTCGGTAGCCAAAGCAGATCCAGCATCGATTTGCCTGTTTGTGCATGCTCGGGCCCCGGGCATCATCAATGCAGTCTGAGCAGTGCTAAAGCCGTGAAAAGCAGGGAACAAGGTCATGCCTCCGGCTGGGCAGCGGCAGTCGCACAAATTGCGTTAGCAACCTGGGAAACTTCCAGAAGCTGGAGAGACGCAGTCGGCACTCAGCACAGTCAATGCCTGGCCTGACGCTGAAGGAATGCGCAGAAACCTCGCAAGTTGGGGGACAGAGTGATGTCTGAATCGCTTTTGGACGAAGCTGATAACGGCAGCTTCGGAATGGTGCAGTCGCGACATTGCGTGATCAGTTTTGTCATCTGCTCGCATTGCAGGCCAGGGGAGGCCATTGAAGGTACTTGAGCTTCAGGAGTAAGCAGTCCAGGAACATAAACAACTACAGACCTCTGCAATGCAAACCATTTCCCCTGTTGCAAGCCCTTTGCTCTCGAAACTTATGTCTACCAGGTGTTCCCAAATTCCGTTGCATGCATTTCCGAGAGTGGAGCTTGACTCGTCACCAGTCCGAACTCATCTGTTGGTCCGATTCTCTCTGCAGCAGGGTTTAGCTTGTGGAGATTAGCTAACCGATGGACGTATGCCTGTAACTGTCTCACATGATATGTGATGCCGGTGCAGTTGTGCTCGACCATGCTCGACTGCATATTGACTAATTAATACTAATCACAACTTGCACAATGGCCTGCTACCGGTTTGTTGTTCGTGCCGCAGCAGACTCCATGGATTTACGTCGCGAAAGCATGTGATCGAAAGTGATCGCGGTGGTCCGTGCCCAGGCTGTTTCTGTGCCGTATGCCATGCAGGATTCTGAACGGTGATAACTAGTCACACGCCAGAGAACGCGCGCAAATATCTTTGCAAAACGGTGTCCTGCACCGCTTGGAATGTGGATCCATGCAAGTTTGCCCAGTGGGACAGTAGGAGTCGAGCTGATGCGTGGATTGCAAGCCAGGCGCTCAGGAACAGGAACACGAAGGCCTGAGAAAAATAACATTGAATACTTCATTCCCTTGATGCACATCTCTCAGCGTCGCTGAGCCGAAGGCTTCAGCTAAGCCTTAGGAACTCGCAAGCTGCACTCTCTCTCATACATCCAAGCAAAAGCTTGCAGCGCCAGTGGCTTATCACATAAAGCCACAGCAGCCATGTAGGCTCGTCTGACAAGCACGGACAAACATGGGCAATGCAAACGACAGCATGGAATTGACCCGACCTGTCATGGCTTTGATGTGCAGGACGCCGTGCACCAATAAATCAAGACCTCGGGAGCAAGAACTCAAGCCTGTGACTCCATGGGCAGCTGCTCGATCGAAGCTGCGCACCCTGGGGCGCTGTGCCACTTACTGGCGTGCAGTGCGTAGCGCACCGTGCAACGGCGTGGCGCGATTTGCGACGCCGTGGTGCCGGCTCTCCCTTCCTTCCCCACCCACTCAGAAAACAAAGCCCAAGCCTGAACTCTAGACTCTAAACCAGACCTGGACACTGTTCCCGCCAAATCTCAAGCTCAAGCCAAAGACCCAACACGAAGCCGAAACCTGCAAACAAGGCCCCGACACCGCACTAAGCCAAAACGCCAACACAACCCCGCAAGCCCGCAACCCAAACCCCAAGAGGAAAAGCCAACTCAGCCCTGGCACGAGGGGGGGGGGGCTCGCGCACAAATCCCAAGACCCAGCTTTGTTACGGTTTTGAGCTTCTGGAGCCAGTGATCCCTAAAGTCCAAGCCGGCTATGGTACATACAGAAACACGTGTATATGTACATATATTGCATATATGATTGTATATGTGAGTGATATTTTGAAGGATCCTCCGTTTCTCTTGGGGAGACCAACCGCACAGCCTACAGTGTACTTTTGGCCAATGCAGGCTAACGCATGTAAAGGGACTCCGAACAAGAATCTGCTTCACGAAGACATATACACAGTCTCACATACACAAGCGCAGTGACAACAATTCTACAAGTAATCAGGTGACGCGCGTATGCCACAGTTGCCCGCGCAATACCTGATACCTAATATTCGAGTAGCCATTACGATACATGTGTGATTCCTCCAGAGTTGAGTATTTCACAGTGTTTGGCCTATATTAAGCTAGTATTTAGTTGATCTTTGCATGAGTGTTTGTTCCATATTTCATGTGTGTTTTGTCTTATGCTAAGTCTGCCCAATTAACAATGTAGAACGTATTCGCAAATATTCAGTATTCGACTAACCCTGGAATGGCTAGTCACTGCAGTAATTTAAAAGAGATTAAGTAAACATGCAGCAGTTAAGTCCACACTCGTTTGCACGTAGTCATCACCAGGATTTCTGTCATGAAGACATGCAAACAATGCGATGCTGCGAGTTAAGGGTTTATTTGTGGTTAAATCCTAAATGGTATACAGGGTTTAATACATAATCTGAATAATGCGTGTTCGAATGTTATTGACCTGCTGGTGCATTCGGAAGACATGAACTGTCAAAGACATACGCCTTAATTTAAACAAGTCTCTACCAAACAATGACCCACTATATTGCTATAGCATTTCAGCATTTCCTTGTGACCGAACATCAATGAACAACCGTTTACTGCCAGATAGGTCTAGAAGTTTCCAGTAACGAAATGTGGTTAAGCTTCGTGCCAACGTCACATCTAAGATGAGTAGAATGTATCATTCGAAGCTTAATTGAAAGCTTTTCTGTGCTGTTAGAACGGCAATTCGCCATCGTTATAGTTCAATACTGAACATCAAATATTGAACGGGTACAGTATGTATCTAAGGTTTACTTAGTAGTCAATACCTGCACAGCCCAAACGCTGTCTAAATGCATAATGCTAGGCACATGCTATTCCAATATTCGAGTTGTTGCTAACGACGAAGTTGCACACAACGAACTGCGCAATTGTCAATCACCAGACGAGCAATCGAACAAATGTAGGATACATGCACACATCGTTGGAGTAGTAATTAAGGCTAATGAAGGTGTCGTCGCTTTAAGTCTTCTGTCAATCTGATTGAGCTGTGAACTCCCAACTGATGTTCAACCACCGATTTGGGATGGCGTACGGTCCCGTAATGTGGTAGATGTTCAGGACAAGCTGGAGTTGGACGGGCATCGGATCATCGCCGAGGGACCAACGCGTGGTGCGAATAGCGCATTTGTGCCGTGCCGGGCTTCAAACCATCGGGCAGCTTCTGCAATCTCGCAGCTTTTCGACGTCTCGCAGCTTCGCAGATTGTCCGGACTCATAGGCGCCTTTACAGCCCAACCGTGAACAATTCCCTGGAAACGCCAAGAAATCAACAAAGAGATCCAAGAAGGCGGCAGCACCCCAGCTCCAGGATGGCAATCATCAAGTAGCTGTCCATCCTACACCGGGCGTGGCTGAACTGCTCGCGGAGCTCCAAGAAGCTAGCCCCAAGGCCAAGAGAGCTCAGGAGCGCACTTGCTGGTGGTGAGTTCGGTCAAATCCCGGACATCCTCAAAGGGAGACACAAAACCATGTATCATTCATTCAGTATCGTTCGGCAGCACGTTGTAGTGCCAAGAAATACTAGTTGCAGCGTGTGCCTCTCGATAGAGCATGAACTGCTTCACGCGCATATCCTGCTCTTGGTACTCTCGCCTTCCGTGCAGAAACCGTCTCATGGGATTCTGGAAGGCTGGTCATGTCAAAACTATTGCATCCGTTTACCTAGGGCCCTCACCATTGCCGCAGAACTTGGTCGAACATGAAGTTCCCTCGGTTGTAGCCTAGGCAGGAAACTACATGCCCAAAAACTCGTGCCAGTGCACAGGTGTGCCCAGGTCCCTTCACACAGGAACACTGTTCCTCGGGTCTCGTATTTGCCAGTCCCTTTGACTCGTGCTTGTTTTAACTGTAATGTGTTGCGCATTTCTCTGGCCCAAGGGTAGGGCCAAACAGTTCTTCGACGCCATCTGTAATGGACATTGCAAAGCTTGCAATCGCAGTCGAGACTATGTACAAGAAGGCCCCGGGCTGTGTCTACGAGAGCCTGAGCCGAGCGGCACAAAACGCTGCGGAATACGCTTGAAAGTACGCTTCACACGAAGATTCACTTTTGACCCGCTGTCTTTGCGCTTTGACCGGTCTCAAATTCAAGAGTCTCCTGGAGAGGCCCTTTTAGATCGGCATAGGGGAGCTTGAAGAGCAACCATCTAATTCGAGCTCTGTCCAGAGCATGTGGTCGAGACTCATTGGCGAGAATGCATTGATAACTTGATAACTGTTAGACTTTAAACACTTGAGAACTGAGAACTACTGATTCGGGTTTACAGGTTGGCCTTCGGCAAGTTATGCAAACACTGTTAAATAGTTGTGAAACAGCATGACCACATGTTTGCGGTGATGCCTTTCCGTCTTCATTCCTCAGTTTGCCTTCCTTGCGCTTCTATCCCATCAGGGTGCCTGGGGGCAAACTAGCAACATGCCTCAACGTGAGGACAAGCCAACGAAATTCAACCAATTTGTCACCGCAAACCGCAATCTGGAACATGGCTTCTAACACTTCGCACTCTGGGAGTGATGCGCGGCATCCAAGGAGGCGGCATTAGCTTCTGCATCCTGGCAGGAATGCGTGAAAATGCAGAAAGGTCGGCAGTCGCTCTCGCTACGTGCATCTTCGTAACAATTCACCTGGTGCATGCTCACAACAATACTTTGAGTAGCAACGAGCGCTACTGCAAAGTTGAGTCTTGCCTCAGTCCGCACCGCAGCATCTTCCGGCACATCCGGGCTTTCAAGCTCGTGGGCGTCGGGAAGAGGACCGGCTATGTCCTCCTGATGATTTCAGCATGCAGTCGGCAGTCGCGCAAAACGACGGATCACCGATGGAGAGACGAGCTATGCCAAAAGTTTTGGCATGCGGGGGGCTTAAACCCTGTCAGATTTCCCCCCCCCCTGCCCAAACACCGGACCTGCTGCACGCATCCATGCTGTTCCAGTACTCCCTCGTGCTTTCCGTAAGCGAAAGCGACACGGAGGATTTAGGAATAAAAGCTTGGAAGCACTGTCCACTCCTCAGGTCAGCTGCTACGTCAGGAGTCACGTTTTTGTCGCGGGCCGCGTCGCTTGGGATTCGTCATCGTTGTGGCCATTTTGAACTACATCAAGGCATCTCTGTTTGGGATGCTGTGTGGAAGCACACGATGCAACCAACCTTAGACTAGCCCGTTCCACTCAGGTTGCTGGAGTTTGAGGAAGCTTGGGCATCACCAACGCAACTGGTGACGTCACCGCATTCCTGGCGATTCTGCTGCAGTCGACGTTCAAGGCCCCAACTTCCTCTCACACATCGACCAATCCAGAATGAACACCACGGGGAACATTTGCATCCAACAAGGTTTCCGACGTCATCCGACGTCGGCTGAATGCTCAGCAGCTATGCATTGATTCCCCAACAAAAGGCTGCCAGCGTCGAGAAATTGCCAGGGATTCGGGAGTAAGCTCCGGGCCTCTAGCTCCAAGTCCTGGGAGTCCGTTTGAGCCTGCATTCCACGGGCACGATAAGACAAGAGAAGCGTCACATCTAAAGCTGCATGTGCCGCCTTGACTCTTTCCGAGCGCTCTCGCAACAATGCATCCATCTCTTCCAAGATCACCTGTCGACTAAACATTTTGCAACACACCTCAACTGAAACAGTCTGATCATGTTGCTAGGACTAGGAAAGCTTGCACCTCCTGCTGATCCTTGCTGACACCTTGCAGTTTCATGCGATTGATCGCCTGCAACAGCGTCCAACTACTACTTGCCCCCAATGAGACTGACAAGACTCAAGTTCACAAGAGAGGCCAGGCACGAACAGCACCTTGTCGCGCAAGCCTTTCATTGCATGCTGCTTGAGTTTGTCGACCTTGCAGAGCCGATGCGCAAGAACTCAAAACTTGGCCCAAGCTAATCGACATAGTGAGAGCCTGGTTGACTCCCTTTTTGCAGTTGTGTGGCCCAGTATGCATACATGCCACACTTCCCAACGCAGGCGTATAGAATCGCCGAAGTTCATGATGGGCAGCAGCCGTTGCCAGTCGATGACAGAGGCAGCACAAATCCTACTCAATCGCTCCCAAGCGAACCGTGGAAGACTCGGAAGCATGCAGTGTACACCCCTTGAGACCAGCAGGTCGACGGTGACAATAAATGGTTCTCCTTCGGTGATCCTCTTTTCTGTGATCGCCTTTCCCACACAAGAACAAACCATCACACCTGTTCTTGTTTCCTTCGCTTCGACCTCCGTCGTCACCTGTTTAACGCGCTACGCATTTCCTAGTTCGTTAGTTTCAGTAACAGAGAGGGCTTGGTGTTCCTACCGTTCCCATCATAACACGCCAAATATGCAACCACCAACATTTCTCACGAGCCGTAGATGGATGCACTTACCAAAACCATCATTATAGAAATCTTGTCGAAACTCTAAACTCGAGTAGGAAAACACCTGAAAATGCACGTGCTTGATGGTAGACCCTTCCACCGCCCCACCCCCCACCCCATGCTCAGGCGCCCTTGATGTGGTGATGGCTGGTGGGGGTGCTGGTCGCAGCGATAACGGTGACGGTGTTGCGATCACCTCGTTCGACTCTGAGTTAACAATCCTGCGATTAGATACCCGTGGCAGCATGTCCACATGAACCTGCAGCTGGAGCTGCTCAACAGTTGCACGATTCTGGCGTCGGTCGACAACTACAAGTAAGATTTCGGGCATGCATGCGATCCAGGCAACTTGGATTAAGCGTACCTGGACCTGTGAGTCTACCAGGACTTCTCATGGTGCACGCAGGATGGGGCCAAGGCGTCCAAGGGCTCGAGGGCGGCGTTTGTTGCATTCTGGGCACAGCAAGACGAAAGTCAATGAAAACCAGCAAGATCCATGCTTGTCTGGGCGCCTGAATTCCCTCCAACGCTTTACTCAGCTTCCATTTGCTCTGGCCGAGGCGCTGATTTTCCTGCGCGCTGCACTTCGACTGGTTCAGGGCCTAGTGCAGGGCCTAGGGCCTGCAAGGCCTAGGCCCAGGAAAAATGACAAAGGCAAGCTTTTGGGACCTCGGAAGCTCCACGGGTTCGAACCGATTCGGTCCTCGCCACGTATTGAATGCAATGCTGTCGCGTCACCCTCATCGTTCACTGTGTCCTTCTACTCGACATCGGAAGAAACTGTGAATTGCACCTTTGATGCCTTTCGCAGGTGTTGGTCTCTCTGCTTCAGTCTGTCACGGACTCGATGCAAGAATCGCGGCTGTGGGCAGGTCATTTTGTTGGGAGGGAAGCAAATCGATTTGCTCCGAGATCCTGGCTTCTGCGCCAAGGGCGGGTAGAATCTACCCACGCCCTGCCCAGGGACGAAAGACAACTAAAATCGGCGGAGGAGAGATGAAGGGGCCTCCAAGACCTCTCTTTCAACTTCTGGAGCCTCTGGTCGGCGCATGAAGAGCCAGTCGTCGCTGGCACTGGAGCTCAGCAGGCGGCTCGCACCCCAGCCGTTGAGCGCGATTTCTTTATGGAGAAGCCACCGGACCTCGATAACATTTACCCATGTGCCGCCTCGACCCAAAAAAGCACCCACGATGACCCTCTTGGACATCAGTCCCTACGCAGCAAGGCACGCGGATGCTCGACATGGGTCAGCATGCCTCCAGTGCACGACTCCGTCATCGTCGGGCTTCTCCTCCTCACCTTGCACCCGTGCCCCCAACACTTTCGGAGTCATGGCCATGACATGCTTTGGCCTACGCCAGGTGGAAGCTCGGCCAACTGCACCTGTCAAGTTGCATAAGCCTGTCCAGAGTCCACGCATTGGGAATGCCTGTTAGCCTGGCCCAGGGCCTGATCCTCCTTCGAAGAAGGCTTGCCTTTGTCGCCTTTGGGAGCCGTCAGAGATGCCACCGCCACTTCTCAGTTTCCCGGCCTCTTCGAGCAGCCCCCTGTCGCCATCCAGTGCCTCAATCTGCATGATGGCTAGCGGCTAGAGCATGCCAGAGCATGCTAGAGCTAGGTGTGCTAGGATGCCTTGAATGCAAGCGAGCTGCCAAAGATCTGGTCTGCATTGTTTCGCCGGCGCACCTAGAAACGAAGGACGGCTGAAAACCCAACGCAGGTGGAAGGTCGCTGCGTCGATACTCGATCCGACTCTGAGCATCGCGCTGGCTCCAAGAAGCTACGGGTGTGATCCGGTGCGCAGTTGTAAGCGTAAGGGTGGGGCATGCTGTAAGGCAGCATGCGCCCCTGGCATACTACTGGCAAACATGTCACATTGAGCAGGAGCGTCGCCGCACAAACACGAACATGACGGCCTTCAAAGCAGGAGGAGCTGCCAATGGAAGTGGGTCAGGCAACGTGTAGTGGCCTGGACCTGATAAACAGTGCTTGCGAACACTACCGAAGCCGGGTAAAATGGATGAGTGTGTTTCTCCGCATTGATCGTGTAGCATGCCGAAAACAAGCAACAGTCATGCTTCCGGCACTCCATCAGAAAGCCCTCAAGCACATGGAGAACGGCAACGTATAAAGGACGGAGATCACTGCTGTACTCGTGGCTGATTCTGCCGCAGATTGAGGCTGTCGATAAGCATGGACACTACTTTCCCGGATTGAAATCAAACGCAATTTTCAGAAATTTGTTGCATGTGTGTGTGTGCGTGTGTCTCATACCCTGCACCAGAAGGGCTAAGGTAGGCAGCCAACCGTGCCTGATGTTCAAGCGCTGTTGACTGGTGCTTCAAGCAAGCCGTCAGGCCAATGAGCTTGAACATATGTTCGAGCTTGATGTTGGCGGCCGTTGAACCGTGCATCCCTCTAAGGGGTAAGGCAGGGACGCAGATTTGTGGATACAGCGCCGCTTCGGAGGTCCGAGCGCGCGCCGCTGTACGAAAGCATAGGGCTGTCATGGGCTGTCGATGCCAGCCGATGACAGCTCGTGTACAACAGCTCATCAACCCAACAGTACCGACAGGCCATGGTGCAACAAACACTGCAAGAAACGCAGGCATGGGAAGATCATCAAAACCTGTCATTGGTATGACATCCCCTCCACCTTGGAGGTGCCCCTCTTCAGCGGGTCGCAGACGATTGACATCACGCGTCTCACTTAGTGGTAGCCATCATTAAACATCATGTCCAACAGCGGAGGATGCATCATCAGCCTTCAACATGAATCCTAGTGAACATGGCGCAGCTTTGCCTGCTGTACATAGACCTGCATGGCGAGGAGTGGGTAGCCAGTCAGATCTGTCTTCAGGAGATTTGTTGCATCAGCTCGTACAGGACTTCCATATCACGGTAAGTCGCAACGTCAGATTCAGATCTTGATCCACTAGCAGCATGTGCGGCTTTGCAGTCAACGAGTCGTGGCAGTGGGAACCCTCCCACAACAAGTGCAACATTCTGCCTCAGATCGTAGACCTGGAAACGATGCACGAGTGAAATATACGAATGGTCCATCGTGTGTCGCACAAGGCCGAGGAGTACTTCAAAAGCGCAGCGAGCTGTTGTGAAGACAGCAGTCTCCGGAAGTAAGTTTTCTCAAAGTTGCAATGTATGTATAGATTTCTACGTTCCTGAGTGACCCCTAAATAATAAGGGTAGCCTGTTTCCTAGTATTCGGTTTTAATAAGGAGACCCCAAAGTAAAAAGGGCAAAAGGGTGCTACTCAGGGACCTAGATTTGGATCCAGTTTCAATAGCAAGCAGACCTCCCCGTGCTGAGTCGTGAAATCGGCCGGTGCGATAAGCATCGCATCGCCCTGAAGCGCACGCTGGCTAAGAGACTCCTCTTACCGCGGTAGAAGATGATGATGGTGGTTGTGGTTGTTGTGGTTGTTGTGGTTGTTGCGGTTGCTGTCGCTGCTGCTGTTGCTGTTGTTGTTGATGAGGATGATGCTGGTGACAGTTGATGTTGGTGATGGTGATGATGATGATGATGATTACGACGATGATGCTGAAGATGATGCTCATGATTCATGATGCAAATGACGATAATCGTGACCATGTCCGTGGCGATGATCAACATCATGGTGATGGCCGTGATGCTGCTGGTGATGGTACCGGCGATGGTGACGACCAGGCCCATAGACGTACAGGATGATGGACACTAACGACATGCTGATGACAGTGGTGTCGGCGGTGACGATAACGGCTGCGGCACCGCGAATGACTGTGATGATTGTCATGGTAATGCTGGTGACCCTGGTGACGAAGACGAAGTGACGATGATGCTGAGAAAATCAGGAGCACGCCAGGTTCACGCTCCAGAAAGGAATGCCTAAAATTAACGCTGCCCTTCTTGGTGCGTCCGTTCAATGTCGTCGTCCGGTCTGTCTGATATCTTGACCAGCTGGCAAGGAAGGGGCTAAGCAGGAAACAAAGCATAACGAAGTGGCTGGGTGTGCTACCTGGCACCTCTTCTGGATCTCCAACAACCTAAGAAGATCAGTAGAGTCAGTAAACAAACCAGGATTCAATTGTAGAGCTTGCTTGATCCAGCCCCGGCCTTGGCAATCAATGCCTTCGTCTCAGAACTAGTTGCACTTTCGTACCTGTACACGAGCTCGCCGACGACTTTGACTTCGACGGAACCTGGAGTGCGCTTCGCCAAGCAGTCCCTCAAACGACGAGAATGGCCGGCAGGGGGTACTGAGACTAGTGCCTCTGGCATCGTACGAACCGGGAGGTGGATTGGCATCATAAAGCTTTGGAGCCACATCAAAGTAGCTCGGAGGTTTATGTGCCTCGAGTAACAAGTCAATGATCACAACCAGGACGATCTTCGCTGCCGGCCACTCCGCCTCAAGCATGAAGCGCCCGCCCTCTGGACAGAACGGCTTTCCCATCTTTGCCCTTAGCTCGGGCTGGCTGAAACACTAACAGCACCTGCCTGCGAAAGTGCGAGGTTAGTCACCGTTGTGCATTCTAACACCCAAACAAAGCCGAGAGGCCATGGTGGAGGCACGTAGGTGGGACCAGGAACGAAGCTCTTGTGCTTCGACACGTAGTCCTCGCATGGTATGGAGTTTACAGTTTGCGAGTGTTCAACTACAAGCAACGCTGCGTCCAGCGTGGATATGTTCTTCGACGCGCTGATCTTGCCATGAGGCTTGGGCCTTGCTCCAAAGGTGGAGTCGGCTCGTACGGCTCGGTTACTTCTCAACATGCAATTGCAAGCTCTAATTGGCACTTGAGCTTGTTTTCACACGCCTCCAAGGTTCGAGGCATCTGAATTGTTCCTGCAGCTGCTACTGCGCGTATCACCGCTCTGGCTCTGACTTTCCCTGCTGACAGTGTCACAAGGATCGGCAGGAACTGCCAATTCCTCGGGTCATGCACGATTCTGCAGACAAGGCGTCAACAACAGGGAGGTGGTAAGCCCTGCAGCAGTGCTGCAAAAGTGCGAAGCACCCTCCGAACCTTGAACCGACTTACGCATGGATTGATTTAGCTATGGCGGCGGCTTCTACAACGTCGAGAAGGCACAGAAGGCCAATGAAGAGGTCTGGAGAGTAACCGTGAGAAAGGGAAGTCTACAGAAACTACGGAACTTGGCCAGCTTTTCCGGGGCCCGACTTTTTCCGTGTATGTGTTTCGTCGGCCGTTCCTGTCGGATTGCCAGCCCTGACTGCTTTAGCTGTAGCGTCTCGCATGTGCCGCACGAAAAAATAAACCTGGCGGCACAACTTCGACCCCACCCGAACACCATGTCGCTACAAGTTCCGGGCTAGCTGCTAGGCCGTCTATCCGGCTGAAAGACCTGACCAGCACCAAGTCTCTGAGGCTTGATGAGCATACCTCTCTGTGATAATGCTGCCTTCTTGGGCACGGCAGTTCAACTTATTCTCCAGCATCCCGTGATCGTCCAGCATCTGTGAAGGGCTGCGGTTAAGATCGTCACGTAGCTCTTCAAGGTCTCCTTGTGATGCATTGCTGGTATGGCCTGAGCCCAAACGGTCCGCTGTGCTTGTGACCGCGACTGCAGCATCAGTTGGTACTGGGTTTGTCTCAGACTCGGCTACAGCCACAGCCGTCTCAGCTTCTACTTCAGCTGTGGTCCTCAAGGATCCTTCTGCGGAAGGGAGCAGTCTTGGCTGCTCGCTTGATGCTAACAAGCTCATCGGCACCCCCGTGCCATCGGATACATTCGGCATCTCCTGGGCAGAGCCTTCAGTCTCACCCTCGCACTTGAATTTATCTTCCAAGTCGGTCTGATCAGCTTTGCACTCGCTTGCACTTGCATCACTTGCGCTCGCTCGACCCCTCGAAGGACCCGGGCTCTTCGGCGGCTCTGCAACGCCGTCCTCAGCTTTACCTTCCTCAAGAAGGGCTTCTTCTAGAGGTCGGGACGTCTGATGCTCGCACCATTTGCTCAAAGCACTCACAATCAGGGCAAGTAGGTGCAAAAGCAATCCCGTGAGGGTGCTGAATGCAGCCTCACCTCCAACGAAAGCCAAGCCAAACATCACGGGAGACCAAAGAGACAGAACTCCGCCAAGCACTGGAACTTTCAACACCCAGAACCAGATGTTCACCAGGACCCAGAAGGATAAACGATTGGCGTACATCTGTGTAGTATTTCCTGCGACGCAACGTGCGGATTCCAAGGCGATGCCAAATAACAACCCAACTGTGATCAGCACGCTTACGACTGAGGCAACTTCCAGGCAAAGGACAAGCAAGACCACACCTGCTGCTACCATTGCCCAGCGTTCATGTGGGCAAAGTGACAGGAGATAAAGACTACATGTGGGTCGCTGCAGAATCGCACAGGCAGCTTGCCGGCCGGCATCCAGCAAAATATATAAGTGCTCTATCGTGTGGCTGAGCAATGACGTGAGAAGACTGAAAAGGTATGGGGCTAGAAAGCTACCCTTCCAGTACTGTAGCCACATGGTCAGCGCGATCAGGAGACCCTCTGCACCCGGTCTGGTTTTGCTGGGTAGTCGGCTCACGCTGAACTGAATCGCACAAAGCAGTGGCCAACAAGCCCAATAAGAAAGCAAGTATCGCATTTCCTGTTCCAGGTCGGCTGATGGTGAGAAAGTTTCTCGCCAGCGAATGGCAGGCAGCCAGCTGAATGCTTGCGATCTCGTTTCCTCATCCGTCTGTGCATCTTTCTCGTGATCATACTGGATCAAGGCCCGGCTTGTCCACAGTACGGGAAACAGAGTTCCCAAGAGGAAAAACACCACGCAAGGCACAACGTCTGATGGACACAAGCTTGCAGCCAGCCACACTGTGGGGCACACAGCGATGAACGAAACATGGAAAAGAACATGCTTCGCAGACTTGAAGAATGCTGTCGAGTTATGTCTCAACCAAGACCGCGATTTCCAAAGAAGCATGACAGCGTAGGCAGTGCCACCAATACCCATACCACAAAGTGCCAAAATACCTCTCTGCTCCCACGACATACACGTCCACATCCACTGCAGCATTAAAAGAAAACGAAGAAGAATGGGACACACCAAACGCCACCTCAGCGAGAGCTCAGCCCTTAGAGTCTCTCACTCGAACAAATTGCCGCTGAGGCACAAGTCGTAAACTGCTGGGAGGACCAGAGTCACCCATGCCACCAGCATGTCACCATTGGCTCGCACTGCCCCAGCTGTGCTCTTTGCAGCACATTCTGCATGCTCAAGGACCTCTTGCCAAGCAGAATGGCCGCGTGCCAACTGCAATCCGAACCAAACGATCCAGGCGCAAACAATTGTGCTGGTGGCACGAGGCCGTTTGAGGAAGCAGGAACATGTCACGGCCAGGATCGACATGGCTGCAATGAAATCACACGTCTCCGCTTCATGGTGTTGCACTTCCGTGACAAGCTCGTTCAAAGACTTGGTCCAGGGATCCTCGGATCTCTGCACCCTATCGTTGGTGACAAAACGTGACAAGCAACACAGCAACACAGTGCCGCTGATGCCTGAACACTATGTCAACACACGGCAACACAAGCGTAAGCTTCCCATCCATTGATTTGCTCACTGGCGGCGTAAGTTTCTAGAGTCGAATTAACTCAGCTGCAAACCCCAATAGCGAACAGAAGCTGCTTTGAATTGCATCATCAAGGGCCGTCAGAATCGCGGAAACTGCTCTGTCTCTGACAAGAGCACCGTCTGCGACGCCGACTGGGACACCGACCGGATCACGACTGTCAGCCTATAATGTGTCTGTATGATTATGTATGTATGCATGCATGCGTGCATGTGTGTATGTGTGTAGGTATGCATGCACGTATGTAAGCATGTCGGTATGTGCATATGTATATTACTTTTTGCAGGCAACACATACCTCTCTTCACATGCGACTTGGCATCAGCAGAGGGGACAGGCAAGACTTGCACCACCATCCCAGTTCACCCAGCACTAGTCCGGTACC